AATTTTCAGAATTTAAATAAATAAGAGCATAAATAAAACAATATATTTAATGCATATAATAATAGAAATAAATTTTAAAACACGAATATAGATCAAATTGGAACAAAAAGCTAAGAGAGTTGCAGACAGGGTGAAAAAGGCGTAGGGAATTCGAACTGACGACCCCAAAAGTTAAAACTCGTTACCGTCAGCTTTACCACTTTATCATTCGTATGCATATTTTGGCTTATATACATTATCAAGTAAATTAATTCTTAAAACTAAATTTTTTGGTCCTATTTCAGTGTGCTATCGTCTAGAAAATTCACCACAGTTGGTTCTTCAGCTTCTAGTACATTTTTTACAAAAAACATTATCTTTTAAAAAGGTTTTCCGATTGAAGTTAAACGGGTCGCTAAAAATATATTTCATGTGCTTGTAAATATATGTTAGCCAAAAAGATATATTTATAAATAGAGAAGTACAAATTTAACATACTCTTTAATGCAGTGGAATATTTAAAAGGCTATCAAATTTAATTTATAATTAACGTTTTTAGTTTTTACCTGTTTCAAAAGAAAAAAAATAACAAATCTTTTAATCATATCTGATTTGCTATAGCAGTTTGATATAGTCAGACATTCATTTTCATTAAAGGTAAATGAGTATGCAGAACTAGGAAATAATTGTCAGGGCAAATTTTGCTATTTCATGGACTTCGAATTATAATTTTAGCCGCTGATTTTATCTGCGAAAAAGTTCTGTAGTTGCAGTTACTTATTTTTCTTATCTTTTGTTAACTAAATTCATCTGATTGCTGACTTTTTCAGCACGGAGATTTTTTGCTATGAAAATACTTATTTCATAGCTATACTTATTCAGAAATAAGTATTTTTTAGCAAAGCGTTCTTTTCCTAAGCGAGCGTTTATCGATTCTTCTGCCGCCATTAATTTTTGGTGACTACACCTGGTTGCTCCTTTTTTACCACTTGACCCCCAACGCATTCGCAGACATACGGATAGAAGTTGAACATTGTTGAACTTCATCCGTACGTCATCCGTCACCGCACATCGACCGGATTGCAGATGTCAATCAAAGTTAATTCGCTCGCTGATTGGAGAAACGCATACGCAGCAGTGGAAAGCGTAAGTACAAAACAACTGAAGTAATTATTATATAATTTCAATACTGTTAATGATTTATGTAGTTGCATATTAATGATTCTAAAAGAAATAAATCAAGAAAAGAAAACTTGAACCTTGATTGTTGTTCTTTTCTGTAACATTTTTTTTATAAATGAAGCGAAACAACTCAGGCAAAACCCAAAGCTTTCAATCTAATCAATGGCAGTCGACTCGCATTAGTACAACCTTCGGTTTAATGACTCGTATAACATAGGAAAGTCCAGACGAATACTTGATTAATGTTACGCCCACAAGACCTGGCCTAAGGCCTAAAATTTTAAGGGTCCTCAAATATCATCCGATAATTCCTAATAATTCTGCTTTACTTCGTACGAAAACGAAGAATGTGGTATTTGAGGGCTATTGAGAGAGCGTTGTACTTAGGTCCAGTATATCTCAATTTGACCTTGGCTCTACCTCACCTTTTCTCATTTCGTACAATAGTCACTTGCTACAGCGTATTATTTTGTTGATTTCAAAAGAATTTTTATAACACAGGTCTTCTGTAACATTCCAATTTTTTTTTAACTTTGGATTTTGAGCATTATTTCAAGTGGCTTCATTGTTTGAAAAATGTAAAATTTGATAAGAAGAGAAAATCTTTTTTCTGTCATAACTTTAGAGAAAATTTGCGTCTCATTAAAGTGTGTTTTGGACCAGTACTATTTAACTGCTGGTTTTTGTACAATGCCTTATAATAAAATCCAACTCAAAAACACACTTTTTTCTTCCTCATCTGTATCTTTCCACTTATGTACACGAGAATTTTCTTTCAGAATGTTGCTGCTAATGAATTGTTGATAGTAACGATTCGTTTCTTCGATGATAATATTTATCAGATCCTTATTGAAATATAATTGAAAGAAATCAAGCGTTGAAAGCTCATTTTGTAGAAAATTTTGAATAATTCTCCGTTTTCCAAGGAAAGAAAATCTAAGCAGAGCACATAGCGTATTTGAAATCCGGTTCCATGTTCTTGCATCAGCCAGATTATGTTGTTCATCTTCACTTTCTGATGATGTAATTGAAAATTCATCAGATCAGAATGATTCACTCTTGTTATCTGAATCAGATAAGTCACTATCATAACAACTCAGGCAAAACCCAAAGCTTTCAACCTAATCAATGGCAGTCGATTCGCATTAGTACAACCTTCGGTTTAATGACTCGTATAACATAGGAAAGTCCAGACGAATACTTGATTAATGTTACGCCCACAAGACCTGGCCTAAGGCCTAAAATTTTAAGGGTCCTCAAATATCATCCGATAATTCCTAATAATTCTGCTTTACTTCGTACGAAAACGAAGAATGTGGTATTTGAGGGCTATTGAGAGAGCGTTGTACTTAGGTCCAGTATATCTCAATTTGACCTTGGCTCTACCTCACCTTTTCTCATTTCGTACAATAGCCACTTGCTACAGCGTATTATTTTGTTGATTTCAAAAGAATTTTTATAACACGATGATACTGCACTTTTGTGCGTGTAATTATTAACTGAGAAAAGCACAGGGTGATTAAAAAATAACTGTCGAAAATGTGAAGCAAATGAAGAAAACCGAAATAAGCAGTTTTGTAAAGGCATATGTGTGAAAAAATGGCGGGATGACATGATACGAGATGCTGCTGGGCTTTAGATTAACATTCTGTTGGCATTAATTGTCAAATTCGGAGCGATTTCGAGCGGTTCATTACACGAACGCGGAACTCACCGACATGCATGGCCACTCTGGCCCACAGATTATTCAACAACATCCCCAGGGTATCAAATCCTACTATACCTGTGCTAGATTACAACTTTAAAACACGGGAGTACAGAAAAAGGCCACTTGCGGTTTTAAGGCATTTAAACTAAATAAAAAAATACTCTTTAACTAACTTGTTATCCTATGTGTATTGTCATTGTATCAAGTATATTGTTCTCTCATGTATGTGCACACTTCTTGCCCTATATTTTATACCTTAGAGTTACAGTCGTAGTGTCAAGTCTCGTTCGGACTCGTTTATTTTGTTCTTCATGGACATTCTTACAGATCTACGTGCATATTACTTATCTCACATGTATGTTATGTCACGCATATGTTTCGGAACTTTATAAAATCGAAAACCGGCTGAATATTCAACCAGGGTAGCGCACCACGCGCGGGTACCTACATGCAACATACAAATTGCCTGAGCCGACATGTATTTTGGTTAAAGTGGGGCGGCTATTCAAAGGATGTAACAGAGCATATATATCTAGCCTTCCTTTGAGGAGTTTCCCCGCTTCCGATGCTCCATGGGTAAAATGTATGATGATGAACTTTGCCTTCATATTATCTATTTTTCTTCCTGCAGCATTTTAATTTTCAATTTAATTTAAAATAAATTATGATACTGTACTTTTCATCGATTATTGTAACCAAATAGTATATACAAATACTGTAAATAGTTTAAAATAATGAAGATTATTTATTTATGTGTGGAAAAGCATACATGGTTATATTGCTACTCACGCATTTGGCCGTGGATCATTTCAACAAATAAAAATTGTCGCTAAACAGAGATTTAACCCATTAATGAATAAAAGGGACATAAAAAACCACTTAAAATGTAATCATTTTGCTTTTATGTAACCCCGGTTAATTCTCGATATATCAGTGTGGACGTACTTCGACCCACTTAATCACCAATATAGTTTTGTAGATCTATGGTGATTCCTATGATATTGTCACCTATATGTTTTACCACCAATCCTTGCATTCCATATCACAGATTATCCGAAATAAATCATTTCGGAACTTCGCGCCGCCATCACCACAGATCCGATTCTGGTGCGCAAAGTTTCAAAAGTTTGAAACTTGATGGCTAGATCTAAATATAAAATTAGTCCCGTAATTTTAAGTTGTAAACATAAACTGTTTTTGAAATATGTTTAAGTTCTTTATGATATCGAAAAGATTGTGGTGAAACATAAAAAAAAAACGATTTATAAATTGGTCGAGAATTCTTTGAGAAGTAATTAGCTTTTCATAACAAATAATTTTGTAACATATAACAGAAAATTTTGTATATAATCAAACTTCTACGACAATTTTTATTGGAAAATATTTTCAGAGTAGCTTTATTTGTTAGTACAGTATATCTTTAAAACGGTCTTCTAGCATGATGGCAAAACAATCCTATGTTATTGCATACTCTGCTTTTTTTGTTAGGTTCATTCATACTAACTATTAGATTGTCTCGCTAACTGACGGATTAAAGAAACCGCAATAAAAAAAGGAAGAATGATCACGTTAATTAAAATGTTTAGACAGCTTTAATTCAAACCGCTATTGTTACGTTGTTTATTGCATTTTACGAAATATGCATACATATTATTTTATTGCTACATAGAAAATAAATGATCTAGATCCAGAAATAAATGGGTTCTAAAGAAATGTTAATTACGCATAATATGCATTTTGCAAATGGAAACCTGTGAATCCCTAGGTATCAGCTCAAATCATGGACGTTTTACAATAGACCTCCAGACGGCGGCTCAAATGATTTTCACCTGGTGGCAGAAATGAAACTAATGAGATATGAGCAAGTGCCTTGATCTGAGGAACTTGGGAACTCTCAATCTACTTCAATCTACTGAAAGCAAGCATCTCATTGGTGAAAACAACTTGCAGCTATTTCTTTAAAATTCGATTGTAAACAAATGCCAATAGCTGTCAGATAGCACGTTTTCGTCAAGGTCGCTTAATATTTACGAACGTGAACAAGGTATGCACATGCTTGAACAGTTGTTTTTTTAGTATTATTTATTTTTTGTGGTAAGATCTTAAAAGCCTCGGCAAATTCATGAAATATCTCCTTCAAAAGTAACTTTCGCTTAACATCCTATTGTTTTCCTGCCACTGTAGTTGAATGCTAGCATTCATTTGGTATGACGAAATGCAGTTAGGATGGAGGAAAAAAAAGTGCATTTCTGATATCGTACTCGTTGAATGAAAAGTGACCTCGTATCAGATATTTCAAAATACTATAATTTTGTATTTTTTTTTAAAATTAGTTCCTTTCATTGCTTCGTTCGAGAAAGAGAGTGTTTCAGTAATGTCCAATAATGGATCGGAGTTATTCAGTTTTAAATTTCCTTCTACATTTATGTTCCGAGATAAGGAAATATCAGTTAAAAATGCAAAGTGGTACCTTTTCTATATTTTATTTGGCATTAGCCTGGTAGCTTTGCTTTGTATTATTTTATACGTTGAAGTTTACATAAATAGTTTTTTAATAAGAGTGGATTGTAATCCTGATCTGCCGTTGAATTATGAAAAATGCCTAAATAGAGGGTAAGATTTAAATGTGATTTTATCATATTTTTTTTTATATAAATCTCAGAATTAAAAATCAAGAAAAGAAAACTTGAACCTAAGGTATATAATTGAATGCTAATCTAAGATATATAATTGACTGTTGTAAATCTCTACTATTGTGATCTGTATGTTTAAAAAAGAATTTTATTGAAAGAAAAAGTTTTATTATGGATATTCATTTATTAAAAATGCAGTTTATTTTTTACTGAGAGAGTGCCATGTAGATTCAAGATATATTTTAGCATTATAGTTTACAGTAAGACTATCATTTATAATCATTGTATAGAATATATATATATTTAGTGTTCATTGTTATAAATTTTTTGCTTGTACCACTTTTATATATATGTAATATGTTTGTATGTATATCTTTTAAGATGCATATGGGTTCAAAGAACAGAAGAATCACAACCCTTATGCTTTTATCCCGATGGTTATGGTTACAAATATCAAGAAGTTCGAAAAACATCAAATGGATATCATGTGGATCTTGAACGTACGACAGAAATTAAAATGTTTGGTGACGAAGTTGATTCAATCAGTCTTCAAGTGTACTTTGAAACTGAAAAGCGACTCCGATTGAAGGTAATGTTGTTTCTTACTGTTTAAGAAATTCCACATATAATTTCATTATCCTTTAATAAGCAAGATATGAAAATTTAGCTTATTCTTGTTGGGAATTTTTCATTTACCATACTTTATTTTTGAATAACAATGAACTCCACTATAAAATAGCCACTATGTCCACCCTTAGGAGTTTGAAGTGTCTAACAAAGACAAATAGTGACCACCATTCAAAAAAAAAAAAAAAAAAAAAAAAATGATGTTAGGCTAGTAAAAAATTATTCACCATTGATTTATGACTTGCACTTATGACTGGCAGGAAAATGTGAGAACACCAAAAATTTCAAACAGTATTAAAAGATATAGTTAAAAATGGGTAAAATCTTAGTATACGGTATGGCCTTGGTGCGATTTTGAAAATTGTCACCAAACTTAAACTGACTCATTTACTGATCATCATACTGTCAACAAATGCCATGTGTACTGTATACTAGGATTAAATCAAATGTTTTAAACAAGATCAATAAGATAGAAAATGTTAAATAATTATGTTACTTAATAATGGTTTATGTTGAATAAGTATATTAATAATGGTTTTCAGTTTTTGAAGTTTCAGTTAATCTTCCATAAGCGAGAAGAGTGCAAAACATTAATCTTCTATAAGCGAGATGAATGTAAAACTTGGCGAGAGTTTTTATCTGGCATGACTTCAATTTGGTTGCGGTTTCCAGCTGTATATTTTCTTGTGGCAAACATAAAGCTTTATTTTGATGATTATAATGAGTGTGAGTTTAGTGTAGCCAGAAGATTTTTTTTTAAGTTTAATTTTGAAATATTGTGTTTATTTTTAAAAGCTTTACTGCTTAATATTTGCAGGAGGTTATGCTGTTATTCGTGAGAGAATGTTGGATTTTAGGTGACGTATAGTTTATAATTTATGAATGTTTTCATTTAATTTTATTTAGGTAATTATTTTTTTTAGTTTTTTTTTCTTGTATGTGGCAATTGAGAGATGTGGAGTGTTTAAAGTGTGGAGTGAAAGTGGTTCAGTGTTGAATTCCATGACGATAATTACTAGTACATTTTAGTGAATTTGAATTATGCATCCATTGTTAGTGTATTTTAATATATTTACTTGGTTGATAAATTTTTTGATGCAAGTGAAGATACATGGGGTATGGGTAAAAGTATATTTACGGGTACCCCTTGGCGAAAATTGACAATTTTTGGCCGTACATGGATACCAAGTTTGTGCAATTCTTTGACTTGTTATTTTTGGCAATTTTAGTGCCAAAAATCACTGCTGCACAAAATAATAAGTCAAAGAATTGCACAAACTCAGTATCCATGTACACATCGACCTATTTTCACATAAAAAAAAAAAAAAAAATCAGAGAATTGCACAAACTAGGCATTGCACATTCCCTTGACTTTGTCCATGTGCACATGTGCGTATTCACTTAAAAAGTCAAAGGAGCAGTCAACAAAAAGTGGTTGATCTTTGGATTATGGTAACTTGGCGATTTTTTGGTAAACATTTGGCAACCAACTCTGCTACAGCAACCTTCTACTCTTTTTTTTTCTGGCGCCATTTTGTCTTCACGAAGTAAAGACATGTTTCTTTTCTTTTTATTTACTCAACACTTTTTCCAACAATCTGCTAGCCGAATTACACTTATGCTAGAAGTTTTATGGAACAAAACTGCTTATTCATGACAAATATTAAATGCAAAATTGGAAGAAAGTGCAGAATCGCATACTCCTTGCCGCGTTTTTCAGAATCCCACATACACATTAACCATGTACACGTCGACTTATTTTTACTTAAAAAAACATCCCAGAATTGCACAAAAATGGCATTGCGCACACTCTTCACTTTATCCATGTACACTGCTTTTTTTCTCATAAATTAGAAAAATTTGCACGAAAATACATGAAAATTTTGTGAATCTTTAAACCCGGTAAAAAGAACATATATGAAATTACCTGATCGCGAAAAAAGTATATACCCTTTCCAAGGATGAACATTTCCACGTATAAATAAATAAAATATCCAAAAACTTTTACCTCTAAATTATCTATTATATAAACGTCACCAACGAATTTATACCGCAAACATTAAAAATGGTTGCAAATACTTAGTGTCAAATATTTAAATTATTTCCATGCACGTTTACTTCTACTGAAACGTATACCAAAATCCTACAAACATAATAATTCACAAAATAACTATCATTTAATTAAAATATTAAACCATGTACACGTCGATTATTTTTACTTAAAAAAAATCCCAGAATTGCACAAAAATGGCATTGCGCACACTCTTCACTATATCCATGTACACTGCTTTTTTCTCATAAATTAGAAAAATTTCACGAAAATGCATGAAAATTTTGTGAATCTTTAAAGTCGGTAAAAAGGACATATATGAAATTACCTGATCGCGAAAAAGTATATACCCTTTCCAAGGATGAACATTTGCACATATAAAATAAATAAAATATCCAAAAACTTTTCCCTCTAAATTATCTATTATAAACGTCACCTGCGAATTTATAACGCAAACATTAAAAATGATTGCAAATACTTAGTGTCAAATATTTAAATTATTTCCATGCACGTTTACTTCTACTGAAACGTATTCCAAAATGCTACAAACATATAATTCACAAAATAACTATCATTTAATTAAAATATAATTAAATTAAAAAACACTACTTAAAATATAAATAAACACATACATTAAATTAATAAAAATTAGCTTCAAATCTTAATTACTTTAAACTAATTCATTGCTAATAACAATTTTCCAATAATACCATATTAATTTATTTCCTTACATTTAGAACAATGCATAAAAATAATATCCTCAAATGATTAAAAATACTAACTTACCTAATCTTCTTCAGAATCTTGAGTGCATAGCCGATAAACGTTTTTTATGGATTCAATAAAATCATTGAATGATTTTTTCTGATAATTTTTAGGCCATACTTCCTCTGCTAAATAAAAAGCAAAATTCTCATTATCATAATACTTCAGAATAGCACTTTTTATAGCACCCCACGTGCCCTCAATCGTATTCGTATGTCCATTTTCACCAGATTTCTTCCACTGCCATTCAAACTTATCTGTTATATCCTTCCTTGAATTTACTTTACATAGGGCCATGGGATCCAAAAATTAATCAACACTGTTTCACTCAACACACAATGAAGCTAAATACAAAATGCTAAACACAATAAAAATTTCGAATTCACTTTACATAGGGCCATGGGATCCAAAAATTAAGGAACACTCTTTCACACAACACACAATGAACCTAAATAGAAAATGCTATAAAGAACTGCAGATATTTTTTCAAATTTTCCCCCTTTTCCGATTAAACAACTGATTCGTCCATAAATGTCACATGATATATCTCATGATCTCTCATTTCTCTCACCCAAAATAATGCGTAATTGGAATTGGATACTTCTCACATTATTCCCCAAGTCCTAGGTAGTAACCTTTATCGCCTAGCAAAATGTCGCCAAACTGCTTGTTACCATATTCCAAAGATTAAACCAAAAAAATATACAATCTCAATAAATCAAACAATGAAATAACATAAAAAAGAAAATTCATCTTAGCACTACACAAAGGAAATATCTACTTACCTTATTTACAATTTTCCTTATATCAGTCAATCCATCAATGGTATTCATGAGAAACATGCTGTGTCACCAAAATGTATTTATGAAACAACCCAAGTATGTGCGTGCATGTAGCAAATGAGTGCTGGTCATTTATATTTGTTTTTATTACTAATGACAGTTATCAGTAATATTTTTATTTCAATGATGGCTTATGAAAAGCATCTCATTTCTTTAAAAATGTGGTATTTCACCTTACATTATTGAATGCAAAAATTCACTTTCCATGAAGTCGTACTTCATAAATAATTAAATTGAATGGATCAAAATTTGTGCATTTATCTATTTTTATATTTTTTTGATCGAAAACATATTACTGTAGACATGGGTGTTGATAGCAGTTGGTAGTTGTGGACTGTATATTAATTCATAAAAGTCAAGTTGAGAAACTTAACAACATTTATTTTCTTTCAATAATAATAATGCCGCTTAAACGGGCAAAGAGTGAGTAAGGAACAATTAACAATTGACTGCCGCTTTGTTCGGGCAGAGGAGCGGAGACTCGGTGTGGACCGAGTGCATCCCTATCGCTTACTGATTAGTACTGGGCTCTCGCCACTAACATTACGTGGCGCTGCAAGCATTAAGCCAGTACAAATAGACATAAATATTCTAACCGAGACGGAACATTCCGCCCGGCATTGAAATTTGATACAAAAATTTCAATTAATTAATTAGTGACAAATCACAATATTTCAAAACTGATAATCACATAAATAATTGTCAGATTACTACAGATCTAAAACTGAATTATGGAGTTTAAGAACCTTAAATATTGAAAATAGTAATTATGCAAACAATATATACTAAGTTGACATAAAAAGTGTTACAATACACATACATTTCAAAATAAGCCATACAAATCCTTTAAACATATAATCATTATTAAATTCTTGTAATGTATAAACTGATTCCACAAATATATATAAAGTCAGTAGAAATTTGAATATTACATTGGCAATAAACAGATCTTTGATATAGATCTAGTGCAGATTCCTGAAGCAGTTTTAACTTTAGCTACACGTACCTTACCATCTGTACCAGGGATTGTCTCTAAAATTCTACCTAAGGCCCAATGGCAAGGCGGCAAATTCTCATCCTTAAGTAAAACCATTGCACCTGTTTCTACATTGGATTTCTGAAACTGCCATTTATTGCGCTGTTGCAAGTGATTGAGGTAATCTGTTTGCCAACGCTTCCATATTAATTGAACAAATTTTGTTGTCCGCTGCCACCTTGATAACCTATTATCAGTGATTTCAATAAGTTCAGGCTCTGGTATAGACGTGATTGGACGGCCGACTAAAAAATGTCCTGGCGTTAAAA